TTGTTCTAACAGTTGTTGAGAGTTGTGTTAAAATTTCTTACTGGGCTGGGCATAGTGACTCATATCTGTAATTCTAGCAGTTTGGGAGGCTGAGGTGGGAGGATCAGTTGAGCTTAGGAGTTGGAGACCAGCTTGGCCAACATAAAAAGACCCCTTTTCTAAAAAAAAAAAAAAAACAAACAAACATAATTTATTTACTATTAAGTAGGTTTGCCTATTATTTCTTTTAGTTCTGTCATCTTTTACTTTGATGCTATATTATTAGGTGCATATAAATTTAGGATTGTTTTATCTTTCTGTGGAATCAATTCTTTTATAAAATATCCCTCTTTATTTATAAAAGAGGGACATTATAAAATGCCCCTCTTTATTTCTTTTTCTTTTGTTTTCTTTTTCTTTTTTTGAGATAGAGTTTCACTCTCATCATCCAGGCTGGAATGCAATGACGTGATCTTAGCTCCGTGCAACCTCCACCTCCTGGGTTCAGGAGATTCTCCTGCCTCAGCCTGCCAAGTAGCTGGGATTATAGGTGTCTGCCACGACTAATTTTTGTATTTTTAATAGAGGCGGGGTTTCACCACATTGGCCAGGTTGGTCTCAAACTCCTGACCTCAGGTGATCTACCCACCCTGGCCTCCCAAAGTGCTGGAATTATGGGCATGAGCCACTGCACCTGGCCATCCGTCTTTATTTCTGATATACTTTTTTTTTTTTTTTTTGAGACAAAGTCTTGCCCTGTCACCCAAGATGGAGTGCAGTGACATGATCTCGGCTCACTGCAACCTCCACCTCCTGAGGGCAAGCCATTCTCCTGTCTCAGCCTCCTGAGTAGTGGGGATTGCAGGCATGTGCCACCATGCCCAGCTAATTCTTGTAATTTCAGTAGAGATGGGGTTTCACCATGTTGGCCAGGCTGGTCTCAAATTCCTAACCTCAAGTAATCTGCCCACCTTGACCTCCCAAAGTGCTGGGATTACAGGCATAAGCCACTGTGCCCAACCCTCTTTTTTTCTATTTTTGTGAAATAGAACCTGCTGATTATATATATGAAGATGGGGTTTCACCATGATGGCCAGCAGGCTGGTCTTGAACTCCTGACCTCAGGTGATCCACCCACCTCGACCTCCCAAAGTGCTAGGATTACAGGTGTGAGCCACTGTGCCCGGCCTTTTTTTTTGGGTTTTGCTCTTGTTACCCAGGCTGGAGTGCAATGGTGTGATCTCAGTTCACTGCAACCTCCACCTCCTGGGTTCAGGCAATTCTCCTGCCTCAGCTTCCTGAGTAGCTGGGATTACAGGCACGTGCCACCACGCCCAGCTAATTTTTGTATTTTTAGTAGAGACGGGGTTTCACCATGTTGACCAGGATGGTCTCGATCTCTTGACCTCATGATCCACCTGCCTTGGCCTCCCAAAGTGCTGGGATTACAGGCGTGAGCCACCGTGCCCGCCTTTGTTTTTTTTTTTTTGTTTTTTTTTAAATAAGACAAGGTCTTACTCTGTCTCCCGGGTGGGAATGCAGTGACACAATCAGAGGTCATTGCTCATTGTAGCCTCAAACAATTCTGAGCTGAAGCAATCCTCCCACCTTAGCCTCCCACATAGGTGGGACCACAGGTGGGCATCACTATGCTCAGCTCCCACCCATTTATGTCAACCTTATGTCCTTATATTTAAAAGATGTCTCTTTTAACAAACTCTAGTTGTTTGTTTTTTTTCCAAAATACAATCTGACAATGTTTTGTTAAATTGGAGAATTTAGTCCATTCATAATTATTGTAATTACTGATGTAGCAGTCTGCCAACTTGTCATCTTGCTTTTTTTGAGTAAGAACATGTGGTGTTTGGTTTTCTGTTCCTGTGTTAGTTTGCTGAGAATGATGGCTTCCAGCTTCATCCACATCCCTGCAAAGGACATAATCTCATTTTTTTATGGCTACATTTCATGGTGTATATGTACCACATTATCCAGTCTATCATTTGATGGGCATTTGGGTTGGTTCCAAGTCTATGCTATTGTAAATAGTGCTGCAATAAACATATGTGTGCATGTGTCTTTATAGTAGAACTATTTATAATCCTTTGGGTTTATTTATTTATTTTTGAGACAGAGTGTTGCTCTGTTGCCCAGGCTGGAGTTCAATGGTGCGATCTTGGCTCACTGCAATGTTTGCCTCCTGAGTTTAAGCTATTCTCCTGTCTCAGCCTTCCAAGTAGCTGGGATTATAGGTGCGTGCCACCATGCATGGCTAATTTTTTGTATTTTTAGTAGAGATGAGGTTTCACCATACTGACCAGGCTGGTCTCGAACTTTTGACCTCAAGTGATCTGCCTGCTTTGGCCTCCTAGAGTGCTGCGATTACAGGCTTCAGCCACTGCACCTGGCTAGTATTTTATATTATTTCATTTTCTCCTCTATTACATTTTTACTTATATATTCTTTTATGTCTCTATATTTAAAGGAGGATCTTAGAGAAGGCAATCTTAACCTAGAGGATAAGTATTGGTAGTGAATTTTCAGAGATTATGGCTCCTGCAAAGGCTGGGTGGTTCATCTATCTGTTCAATAGCTCAACACACCCTCAGAACATACAGCAATAATAATACAATAATAATAATAATAACATAATAGTTAACTCTTATGTTGGCCTTTACAATATGCTAGGCACCACTCTAACCATTTCATATATATGTCCTAAGCATTTTATATATGTTAACTACTTTAACCATGAAGATGAACATCGATAAACATTGAAGCAGACATATTGTTCCAGCTTTGTGTCTCTCAGCCCCTCTTGTTCCTCCGAACCACTTGAACCCCACTTCTCATTTCTTGGCTTCTCTGACACTACCAAGGCAGGCTCTCCCACTTACCCCAGACCCCAAACACATACAGTCTGGCTCACTGGTGCAGCAGGTCTCCTAGTCCCCAGCCTCCTTCTTGCTGCCTTAGTATCTCTCCTCTGACCTACACTGCTTGGTAGCTGCTTGAGGGGGCTGGGGCCTCAAAGATGGACCACAACTGCTTCACCCTCATTCTCAGCCACAGCCCCCTAGGCATATGCCTCCAACTCCCAAAAGGGGGCACCTCTCCATGCTGTAACCACCTTGGCACAACATGGATGCTTAACAACTCCTTGCTGAATGAAGTCCAAAGGAAGAAATGGTCTTATGATTATGTGAACTCAGAACACAAGTGAAGCCATTAGTGCTAAACAGGATTCCCTCACCTTGGGAAAGAAGAGGACGCCAGCCTCTGCTCAATCCCTAACATCCAGCCCTCCTCCCCCATTCACCCCCCACCCCCATCAAGCCAGCGTGAGTTGGTTCTGAGGAGGGTAAGAGTGACAGTGACGGGTCGCTTTCCATCTGTCAGGACAAAGGCAAAACCCTGGCTCCCTTGGCATCCTCATCAATCCCCACGCAGGTGCCACAGATGCTTCCCACCCCCTTGCTCAAGTCTCCCTTCCCTCACTTGTGCAGACACACACATACACACAGAGACACATGGGCACACATACATCCAGACACACAAGACAAACACAGACATCCACACATACAGACACACAGAAACACACAGACACATGCACACACAGACACACATAGAAACACACACAGATACACAGACACACAAAGACATACACAGATCATATACAGGCACACAGACACACACACACATGCATGCAGACAGACACAGATATACAGACACGCACAAAGACATGTACACACACAGACACGCAGACACATGCAGACACAGACACATACCCACACAAAGACACATGCAGACCATCACACACAGACACACACATAGAGACACACAGACACACACACAGACATAGACACACAAAGACATGAGACCATACACAGCTACAGAGATAGACACACACGTACACACAGACACAGAGACTCATGTGCACACACATATGCAGACTATACACGCACACACACACAAAGACACATGCAGAGCATACACACAGAGACACACGACATGCACAGACACACAGACACACAGACGCATGCACACACAGACATGCGCGCACACAGACACACGTACACGTGCACACAGACACATGCAGACACAGAGACACGCAGATACACACACAGATACAGATATACACACACTGAGACACAGACACACAGAGACATACACACACAGTCATATACAGACACACCAACATACACACAGACACATGCAGACCATACGCACACAGAAAGACACAGGCGGACCACAGACACACAGACAGGCGCGCACACACGCGGGCGCGCGCGCACACACCACCACATGATTGGGCTCTCACGGAGTGAGGGGAGGCTGGCTGGGGTCTTTATCATACTTTCTCTACCTTGCCCTCCTTCCCTGCCTCCGGATGCACCTCCATCGCTCTCCTGCGCTGCAGCACACACGGCTTCAGCGTCCAGCCACTGCACAGACACGCACACAGCTCCCGCAGGTCGACCCCGTTACTCGCCCGAAGAATCCACCGAGCCCGGATGCTCTCAGCTGACGGAGACGCTCTCCCCCGCCCGGCCAGGGAGTCGCCTAGAGTCGGGGGCGGTTCCCACCCGTTTCTCTCATCCGCGCCTTTCGATTGGATACCGGGGTACCGTGCGTGACGCCATTGGCTGGAATGTCTGCGGTTCCTGGCCCAGGCCTCAGCTTTTAAGGGGCACGCCGCATGGAGAGTAGGCCAGTGATAGGCGACAGTGTGGGAGCTGGGGTCAAGACAGCTCTAGGGTCGCAGAGGCCAAGTGCCGCGTTTCCCTCCTGTCTCCGGCGGACTAACACCCCAACCTCGTGCCACTGTTCCAGGCCCCTGCTTCCAACCGCCACGTGCGGTCTGCGCGTGCGCACTCGCCCAGTTTGGCTACCACCAGGCGGTGGGGAAGGGAAAGGGGAAAGGGAAAGGGGAAAGGGAAAGGGGAAAGGGAAAGGGAAGGGGAAAGGGAAGGGAAAGGGGAAGGGGGTGAGAGTGGCGAGGGGTGACAGGAATGGGGAGCGGGGGGGTGGGGATGTGAGTGGTGGTCCAGGGGCGAGGGCAGGGGACTATGTCTGTGGGGAAGGGGGTTCTGTTAAGTTTTCCGCCCCTGGGCGGGAGGGAGCGGCGGGGTAAGCAGCCTAAGAGGACTAGGGGGCTCCCCAAGGCTCAGGGCGCCCCTGGCAAGACCGGGTTCCGCGGGCGGTCGCCACTGGAGCAGGGTTACGAGGGGGCGCCGATGCTGCGAGAGAAAACCTGGGGACCTTGGAACGGCCTCATGGTGATTGGGAAGAGAGTGGAGCTTCTGAGTAGAAACACTCAAAAGCCGAAGCTGGAGTCTGAGTACTGGAGACTGGAAGATGTGGAAAAGGAGGTCTTGAAAGAGAAATCAGGCCCGAGTCAGGAAAGGATGGTTATAAAGCTGCTGCACCGCAAGCTTCAGTAGATTTGGGGACAGACAGCCCAAGGGAGATTTGGGGAAAGCAAGAAGTCAAACACAAAGTAAGGGCTAAATCTAAGAGTGCAGGGATGACAGCAGGGCCTATGAGGGGGTCTGGGTTTGAAGAGAGGTCAAGGTCTGCTTGGGAGAAGGTAAGGACCAGTGGAGAGGACTTGAGATCCAGAGGCTATAAACTGGGGCAGAATGAGAAGGTGCTGAGGCCATGTGTGGACAAAAAGAGATCAAGTGTAGAGAGGCTGAGGTCTAGTAGTGAGAAGCTGTTGTCCAGGGAAGAGAAGTGGGAGTCCAGTGGAGTGAACCTGAGGTCCAGTGGCGGAAAGCTGAGATCAAGGGGAGAGAATCTGAGATCAAGTAGAGAGAACCTGAGATCGAGTGGAGAGAACCTGAGATCGAGTGGAAAGAAGCTGAGATCGAGTAGAGAGAAGCTGATATCCAGGGGAGAGAACCTTAGATCGGGTAGAGAGAATCTGAGATCAAGTGGAGGGAAGCTGGGAACCCGTGGAGAGGAGCAGAGAGAAGCTGAGGTTGAGTGGAGAGAAGCTGGGGTCAAGTGTGGAGAACCTGAGATCTAGTGAGGAGAAGTTGGGGACCAGTGGGGAGAAGTTGAAGGGTTCAGGAATGGGGAGCATAAATGAGAACATTGAAAAGTGGTAGAAGTTACTGGTGATGAAAGTGATGGCATTTACTGATGATGAGATGGAAATTCCTTTTGAAAGTGTCAAAGAGAGTGATGAACTGCAAGGGACTGAGGAAGGAGTGGGAGTTGAGGGGGCGTCTTGCATGAAGTGAGAGACATTACTGATAAATCCGTTTCTATGGAAAAGAAAGATGTTATAGGTGAAGGTACCAGTGAATGAGGCAGATGAAGAGTTGACACCAAAGAAGGAAGTAGGGGCAGACGGGGGAAGTACAGAAAGAGGAGAAATTAGAGCCAGGCAGAACATTATTGACACCAAAGGGGTAAAGTTGAGAGAGGAAATGAGAGAGTCTGAGCCTAAAATAAAAGAGAATGGAAGTGAGTTAGAAGAGCTGCAGGGGCTGAAGGCAGAGACCAGAATCAAAGGACACAGAGGAGTGTGTGGTACAGAGAGAAGTGAGAACATGTGGAGGAGAATGAAGACGCGGTAACGTGTTGACAGAGGAAACTTGGGTATTGGGAGAAAAGCTGTGACTGGGGAGCTCATAGGGAAATGTTTGAGAAAAGGATGGAGGATGGGCTAGAAGGATTTAGTCTGACACATGATGGGGTGTATGAGATGGAGGAGAATTGCACCAGGATAAAGGGTAGATTTTGAGGATTGTGGAAGAAGGTGCAGGCTGAAGTAGGCAAAATTTCTGAAAAAGGATCCTGAAGAATGAAGGGCTCCCAAGTGACAAAAGCAGGAGGAGAGGAGATAAGAAAGAAGTGAGGAAAAAACATAAGAAGCCACATGCTATAATGGTGATTGTGTTTATTGGTATGTCCTTCACTATTTCTTTTCCCTTCCCTTCCTTCCTTCCCTCCCTCCCTCCCTCCATCCCTTCCTTCCTTCCTTGCGTCCCTCCCTCCCTCCTCCCTCCCCTCCCCTCCCCTCCCCTCCCCTCCCCTCCTCTCCCTTTTGGACAGTCTTGCTCTGTGACCTCGGCTGGAGTGCAGTGGCACAATCTCAGCTCACTGCAATCTCCACCTCCCAGGCTCAGGCAGTTCTACTGCCTCAGCCTCCAAGTAGTTGGGATTACAAGCGCATGCCACCACGCCCGGCTAATTTTTGTATTTTTAACAGAGATGGGGTTTCACCGTGTTGGCCAGCCTGGTCCCAAACTCCTGATCTCAAGTGATCTGCCTGCCTTGGCCTCTGAAAGTGCTGGGATTATAGGCGTGAGCCACCACCTGGCCTACTGTATCCTGTTTCATCAGTGGGGTGTTGTGATCTGTGTCCTGGGAAACTAGGCTTGCCCTTGGGAAAGTAGTCCTGCAGAATTCCTGTCAACATCACCTCTCTTTATTCTTCTGTGTTGCACTCCTACTGCCTGGATCTTAGATCTTCCTGTTTCTTTTCTTTTTCTTTCTTTCTTTCTTTTTTTTTTTTTTTTTTGAGATGGAGTTTTGCTGTTGTTACCCAGACTGGAGTGCAATGGCACAATCTCGGCTCACCACAACCTCCGCCTCCTGGGTTCAAGCAATTCTCCTGCCTCAGCCTCCCGAGTAGCTGGGACTACAGGTGTGCACCACCTGTTTCTTGTTTTATTCTCTCACTTTGGTCAACTGCATCATCTAATAGCTGCTAGAGAAAGTGACTATGGGAGGTAAACTTTGGGATGCTATCTGTCTGAAAAATCTCAATTCTTTGTTCATAATTGACTGATAGTTTTGCTAGGTATAGAATTCTAGGCTGGAAATATTTTTCCCTTGTATTTCTGAAGGCATTTCCTCACTATCTTCTTCTTTTTTTCCTTTAAATTTAATTATTTTTGAGACAGAGTCTCACTCTGTTACCCATGCTGGAATGCAGTGGCATGATCTTGGCTCACTGCAACTTCCACCTCCTGGTTCAAGTGATTCTCATGCCTCAGCCTCCTAAGTAGCTGAGACTACAGCCATGTGCCACCATGTCTGGCTAATTCCCTTACTATCTTCTAACTTCCAAATATTGCTATTTGTAAGTTTTTTTGTTCTTTTCTTTTAATTCTATAGATATTGTTTTTCTTCTCTATATAAATTACCTGTTTGCTACTGCTCCCTAACTCAACCTGCATCCTCATCCCATTTTTTCTGGCTTTACTAGAGGATCTTGGACCCTGAATTATAGCTGTTATCTTTTTTTCTCCTTTTGTCTTCCTCTTCTTGTTCTACTCTCTGGGCAATTTCATCAACTTCAAAATGATTGATATATAATAGATGTACATATTTTGGGGGTACATGTAATATTTTGATACATTCCTATAATGTGTAAATATCAAATCAGGGCAATTGGAATATCCAACATCTTAAATATTTATCTTTTCTTTATGCCATGAATATTTGAATCATTCTCTTCTAGCAATTTTGCAATGTACAATAGATTGTTGTTAACTACAATCACCCTACTGCTCTATAGACACTAGGTCCCATTTCTTCTATCTAACTGTACATTTCTACTCATTAATTAACATGTATTTATTTCCTCCATCCTTCCTGGCCTCCAGTAACCACCAATCTCATCTCTATCTTCATGAGATCCACTTTCAACTTTATTAAGTGTATCTTCCTATCCTTTCTGTTGAAATGTTACATTTTAACCTTCTTGTTCATTGATTGCTTCTTTTTTTATATATAGTATTTTTGTTCCTGTTTTGTGAGCCTGTTCTCTTAGCTCTCCAAGGACTTTTCCAGTTTTCAAGTTTTCTTCTACTTTTCTCATTGTTTTTCCTGAGTCTCCTTCCCCTGCTTTCCCTACCCCTCCTTTTTGTGCCTGTGTATATTGTTGGAAGTTTTCCTCAAATGTTTGATCTTTAGCTGTTCATATTTAAGAATGAGGCATTAAGCAGAGGCCATTGGAAGCAAAATGTGCATGGATGGGGCTTATCTGTGGCCTTCACTCTGTGGTGACTGGAGCAAGCGGAGTTTTTTACTGGGTACATCCAATATCAGAATCTCTAGATCTCATTGAAGGGACCATCTGATTTCTCCAGAGAATTCTCCAATCTGTCTAGGGGATATCTGCGTGGCCCCTGCTATAGAGGTTACAGCAGCAGGGTGCAGGGAGAGGATTGTGGAGCCTGGCCAAGTACGTGTTTCTGTTAGAGGGTTTTTTGTTTGTTTGATTGTTTTGAGACCGAGTCTTGCTCTATTGCCCAGGCTGGAGTGCAGTGGCACGATCTCAGCTCACTGAAACCTCTGCCTCCCAGGTTCTAGTGATTCTCCTGCCTCAGCCACCCAAGTATCTGGGATTATAGACCTGTGGCTAATTTTTGTATTTTTGGTAGAGACAGGGTTTCACCATGTTGGCCAGGCTGGTCTTGAACTCCTGACCTCAAATGATCCACCCACCTCAGCTTCCCAAAGTGCTGAGATTACAGGCATGAGCCACCGTGCCCATCCGGGTCAGTTTTCTTACTGACATTTCACATGCTGGATTTATCTGGTTGTATCCTGATGGTGTCATTTAGTTCGTTCTTCTGTCTGTTGTAGTTCCCGTAGTTCTTCAACTGGAAGTTGAGGCTAGAGGTCCTGCCTTCTCTTTGTCCATTGCATTCAACACCGCCTGATTCAGAGCTTTCCTACTGTAGCTGTTAACATTCATCTCTCCCCACTAGGAGGTAAGTGAGCTTATACTGGCAGCAACGTGTGTCTGTCTGGTTGCCCTCTCTAGTCCAGTGTCTAACCTGTACATAGTAGCACTCAGCATGTGTTTGCAGAATGAATCAACCCGTCATATTCAGTGACTTTATCAGTCTCAGTATTATTTAACATCTATTGAGAAATTGCTGTAATGATTTACCCTGTTTCTTAGAATATGTCACATTTTTTGAAGCCTCAAAAGCCTGAAGCTGTCTTTGTTCCCTACTTGTACTTGAGGTTTCACTAGGTGTAGAATTTCCCTCAGCAGCATGAAGACGTGTGCTTTTGTTTTCTTCCTTCCTGCATGGCCACTGAGAGTTCAGATGTATTTTTACGCTGAGCCAGTTGCACAAACAGGCATCCTCTGTATGAGACCTGTTTGCTTCTCCCTGACTCCACTATTTCTGCTTCTTTATTGGGCAGAAGCTGAGAGCTTGCTCTTCCATTTTCTGGGAACTCTGATCCCATTGTTAGACAATAAGGTGGAGATACTGGATGTGGGCAGAGTTGTAAAGATAAGCTGTTGATGGCTCAAACCTCCTAGTGGGAACTTCTTGACAAATGATGATGACAGCTAACATTTGCTGAGTTCTTGTAATAATCAGAGTAATTTACTCAGCACCATGCTAAGCACTTTACATATTCTCTATGATTTAGTCCAACAGCTCTTTGAGATAGGAACTATTACTCTATCAACTTTTCCCGGAGCCAGGCACAGAGCCCAGGCAGCCTGACTCCAGAGCTGAGCTGGAAACTGCTCTGTCTGCTGAACAGGCTCCTCGGTTCTTACCAGACAAGCCTTGGACCTCGGCTTCCTCACCTGCCGGAGCAAGGCCTGGGCTCCTGCATGGGGATAGGGAATGAGGCTGTGTACCAACCCTTCCATTCATTCAGCGCACACTAGCTGGAACACTCCAGTGGCAAGTGTTTAAAAATATAAATATTATCGGCATGGTGGCTCACGCCTGTACTCCCAGCACTTTGGGAGGCCGAGGTGGGTGGATAACCTGAGGTCAAGAATTTGAGACCAGCCTGGTCAGCGTGGTGAAACCCCATCTCTACTAAAAATACAAAAATTAGCCAGGTGTGGTGCTGTGTGTCTGTAATCCCAACTACTTGGGAGGGTGAAGCACAATAATCACTCAATTCCTGGAAGTGGAGGTTGCAGTGAACTGAGATGGTGCCACTGCACTCCAGCCTGAGTGGTGAGTGACAGAGTGAGACTCTGTCTCAAAAAAGAAAAGAAAAGAATATAAATGTCAAAAAACCAATGATGTTTATTTTCTTTCCTAGATCTCTGCCATCCCGAGATCATCACGCCTAGCCTCCTCTGGAAACTCTGAGTGCTGGGAATTGCCTCTCTTAAAAGAGGCCCACACAGTATGAGGTCATACTCGGGCAGTTTTTGGCTGTGTGAAAATTGCACCGCACAGTATACAAATGACAAACCAAACAATTAAATTCGTCCTTTGGCTGGATTGCATCTTCTCCTGGGATCTAGATGCATGTCACCAGGGCCACAGAAAGAAAAATGAAGCTCAAGATACCGTGACAAATGCCAACAGCCTTGTAAGTGCAGATATTTTCGGTTATCTGGGTAACTAGGGTTTTTGCATAGGTAATACCCTTTTCTACTAAAATTAACCAAAACATACACATTCCAGGGCTCCAGAGTGATTTTATATACATATATGTATTATTTAAATATATACACATACGTGTATGTATATTTAATCTATACAGTATACATTTATATATGTATATAAATAAACATATGTTTATTTATACAGGCACACACCACCACACCTGGCTAACTTTTTTATCTTTAGTAGAGATGGGGTTTCACCATGTTGGCCAGGCTGGTCTCAAACACCTGACCTCCAGTATATTATATACATATGTTAAATATATATGTATATAATATGTATGTGTATATTTATATATTTTTTTAATAGAGACAGGGTCTTGCTATGTTGCCCAGGTTAGTCTCAAACTCCTGGGTTCAAGCCTGGCCAATTTTATATATTGTTATTATTGTATTCTTTGCACAGTCCCAGCCTTCTTTCTGGCAATAGCATTTGTTGAAGTAACATTAACTTTTGGCTGCATGCTGTGGCTCACGCCTGTAATCTTAGCACTTTGGGAGGCTGAGGCAGGAGGATCACTGGAGGTCAGGTGTTTGAGACCAGCCTGGCCAACATGGTGAAACCCCATCTCTACTAAAGATAAAAAAGTTAGCCAGGTGTGGTGGTGTGTGCCTGTAGTCCCAGCTACTTGGGAGGCTGAGGCAAGAGAATTGATTGAGGCTGGGAGGCAAGGTTGCAGTGAACAGAGCAGAGATCACGCCACTGCACTCCAGCCTGGGTGACAGAGCAAGACTCTATCTCAAAAAAAGTAAAAAAGTAACATTAACTTTTGGTTAAAATGTACTCTTAGTTGGTCCCATTAATTCATTCAGCAAGCAGTGTGCACTTACCATGTACCCTCTGGGAATGCAAAAGGTGTATAAAACCAGGCTGTTGGCTTTGGCTTTTTCTTTCTTTTTTTTTGGAGACAAAGTCTTGCTCTGTCATCCAGGCTGGAATGCAGTGGCACAATCTCAGCTTATTGCGAACTCTGCCTCCCAAGTTCAAGCAGTTCTCCCACCTCAGCCTCCCAAGGAGCTGGGATTACAGGCATGTGCCACTACACCTGGCTAATTTTTGTATTTTTAGTAGAGATGAGGTTTCACCATGTTGGCCAGGCTCCTCTCGATCTCCTGACGTCAGGTGATCCACCCGCCTCGGCCTCCCAAAGTGCTGGGATTACAGGTGTGAGCCACCACACCCAGCCCAGAGCAGAGAGAATGTTAATGAAACTGGTACGGTATGAGCCTAGGGCCAGACTGGGGAGGGAACCTCAAAGGCAGGATTAAGGAATTGCGACTCTTGTTCTGTAGGTGACAGGGAAGATGACGCCATCAGATCTGTGCTTCACGTAGAGAAGTCCAAAGCAGAGATGGAGTCACCCAGGTATGATGTGCGGGCACGCGGTAAACAGAGATATGATTACTAGATTGTTATGATAAGTAGTTCAGGCCTGGAGTGGTAGCTCAAGCCTGAAATCCCAATACTTTGAGAGGCCGGGGCAAGAGGATTGCTTGAGTCCAGGAGTTCCAGACCAACCTGAGCAACAGAGCAAAACCCCATCTCTACAAAAAATAAACAAAATTAGCTGGGCATGGTGGCATGTGCCAGTAGTTCTGGCTACCCAGGAGGCTAAGGTGGGAGGATCATTTGAGCCTGAGAGGTTGAGGCCATAGTGAGCCTTGATCACACCACTGCACTTCAGCCTGGGTCACAGAGCAAGGTCCTGTCTCAAACACACACACACACACACACACACACACACACACACACACACACACACATTGTTCAGTATAGATAGGATGAAGGTATGAATTACAGCAGAAAGAAGAAATAAAAACAAGACTTGAGAGAGTATGAAAAGTCCCATTTAACAGAACTGGCTGATGAATGTGAACGGCTGGTAAGGAAGGAGGCACCAGGCGCACGGATGGCGGCAGCTAACATGAAATGCTTCCTCTGCGTTGTCTCACTTAACCCCACAACCGTGCTGTGAGCAGGACTGTATCACTCTCCACATTTTATGGGTGGCATGGAAGCCTGAGGGGGCAGTCAAAGCGACATAACTAGCATGTGTTAGTGGTAAGTGGTGGAGTGAGGAGGAGTTGGACCTGTGTGGTAGCTCCACCATCTGGCCAGGTCTTCAGTGCCGCGTGATTGGGGCATGAAGCCACTGCCCTAGGTAGCAGTTAAGGAATGGCCGATTTGGGCCAGGAGCCTGCTGCAGCCATCTTCTGCTCTGGAGAGCTCCCAGGTGGCAGCAATGCCACGTCCCCTATAGATGTGTTGTGTTTGCCCCATAGACTATTTTAAGACCATATTTAGAATTAATTGGTAACTTTTTAAAATACAGAGATTCACATTAAAAAGTGCGTTTCTGGCTTTTCTTGGAAAATGAGAAGATCTGGCCACACTGGGCCCTTTTGGGAACTGGAGCTGCCGCTCTGTGTTTCCTTCCGCCGGGGCTTGTACCCCCGGTTGGCCAGGCCCCAGGGGTCTGTGTGGGGTCTCCTGCCACCTCTGCAGGCACCTGGGTCTGCCTCTCTGTTGTTCTTTTTTTTTTTTTTTTGAGACAGAGTCTTGCTCTGTCACCCAGGCTAGATCGCAGTGATGTGATCTTGGCTCACTGCACCCTCCACCTCCTGGGTCAAGCAATTCTCCTGCCTCAGCCTCCCAAGTAGCTGGGATTATAGGTGCCCACCACCATGCCTGGCTAATCTTTGTATTTTTAGTAGAGATGGGGTTTTACCATCTTGGCCAGGCTGGTCTTGAACTCCTAACCTCGTGATCTGCCTGCCTCAGCCTCCCAAAGTGCTGGGATTATAGGCATGAGACACCATGCCCAGCCCACCTCTCTGCTGTTCTGGCACGAGGTATGCTGCTCAGCTTGGCTTTGACACCAGGCTGTATGTATTCATTTAATGCATGCCAAGCCCAGGCCTCCACTGATGGCTAAACACCTTTTCTGAATTTTGGGCAATGTAAGATAAAAATATGCTGTGGGAATTGAGAAAGACTAAATGCCCACCCATGCTTGAGTGCCCGCAGGGAGGAGGGTTCTGCACAGGTAGTGCAGGAAAAAGGCAAATTGCCATAGTTCCTGAATTCAGCATAAATTAAAGCAAAATACGAATCGTACCATGGCAAATGGCAAGTAACAGCCTATTGCCAATATACAAAGCATGTTGTGATTTTTAAAAAATTTGTTTTGTAATGAATAATTTGCTTGAATTTTGAGCTATGTACTTTGGACATATGATAAGGAAGCTTTGGGGGAAGATTTTGTGTGTGCGTGCGTGCGCGCACGCATGTGTACCTGTGCATGTTTGTTTATGGGGGCGTGGACCAGACTTTACAAAGCTTGGAATTTTCTATAGAAATTCAGTTTCAGAGTCTGGGTGCGGTGGCTCACAGCTGTAATCCCAGCACTTTAGGACACTGAGGTGGGCAGATTGCTCGAGTCCAGGAGTTTGAGACCAGCCTGGTCAACGTGGCAAAACCCCGTCTCTACTAAAAATACAAAAATTAGCCAGGCTTGGTGGCAGGCACCTGTAATTCTAGCTACTTGGGAGGCTGAGGCAGGAAAATCACTTGAACCCGGGAGGCAGAGGTTGCAGTGAACCGAGATTGTGCCACTACACTCCAGCCTGGGTGACAAGAGTGAAACTCAGTCCACCCCAAAAAAGAACATTTTAATAAACTTTTATGATTTATTAAAGGGTGAAAACATGTTTCTGTGCCATTATGTCCAAGTGTGAGCCCCACACTGGCAAACAGGTATTTTTCTGAGTTAAATGTTTTGCTCCATTTAAAGTATAACAGTAGTCGCCTGTGCCCATGCTCAGGTTGGACAAGTGACCACATTTCACGCCTGTGTGAGTTTTTTGTTGCAATCTGTATAGAGATACAGGTTCAGACAGGTGCAGGAGCAGAGCCGCCAGCGAAGCTGCAGGAGTTGACTCTTAATCTATGTTCTTTGAGTTATACCTGACAACTTTCCATCACACCTGGCTGCCTGGCTGAGGAACTGGAGGAAGGCGGCCACTGCTGGCAGGAATTTATCAGCGGCCCCTGGACAGTATTATGGAGTGGCCACCGCCTCTCAGAGGCTCACTGTCCATAGCACAGGGGTCAGCCATCCTGTCGGGCCATGTTGACCCCACTCAGGAGAGGCCAGCCCTGCAGGTTCTCCCCTGGGAACAAGATGTGATTGTGCAAGGTTCACACTGCAGATCAGCTTGGTCTCGGGAGCCACTTCTGCACAGATCACGTGGGGCTCACAAGGCCATGCTCTGCTGCTCCCTGGACTCTGACCCCTGTCCTGCCTGTCCTCCTTCCTCCTTCCTCTGGTCCTCAGAGACTCCTCCTTCCCCACCATGTCCACAACCAGGGTGGGACCAGGCTGTGCATTGTGGCCAGTTCTGTTCTCATTTGTGTGTTGCATGGAATCCATTGTTTCTACTGACGCAGACCGGTGCCTAATCCTAGGTGTCTAGCACCGTGCTGGGAGCCAGGGATACGGCACACAGGTGCCTGCCCTGGGGGATATGGGGAGCACATGCAGGACATAACCGGTGAACTGGGTAGCGCTTCGTCACAGGCCTCTCACAACTGCTATTTTATCTCCACCACATTACTTTTGCGGTGTGACCTAAGAGGCCTTGGCTCCTCCAAAGATCTAGCCAAGTTCCTGGTAAAGTTATTCATTCATTTAAAAAATTCATTCATGTAACAATATTTATTAAGCACCTATTATGTGTCAGATACCATTCCAGATGTCAGGATTGTAACAGAGAGCAAGCTGACAAATACCTGTGTTCTTTTGGTGCTTACATTATCGTGGAAGGGGACACAAAGAAATCATGTCAATGCATAGTATGTCATAAGAATTTTAAAGAAAAACTCAAGCAGGGTAAGGGAGAGAGAATGGCAGCGGGGAGGAGGGTTGCTCTTTGAGGAAGGCCCTTCTGGTGACTCTTGAAGCAGAGCCCAGCAGGAGGGGAGGGGAAGTGGTGGTTAGGAGGAAGTCCTTTCATAGCGGGGAGCCGCAAGAGCAGAGCCCCCTAGTGGGAGTGTGGCACTGGTCTGCGATCCTGTTTTCCTCCTCTGCAAGTTAATAGGCTTGTTGGGAGGGACAAATGAATCCTTTATATGAAAACGTTTATGTCAACTGTAGAACATTGTACAAAAGTTACTCTCTTCATGTTGACTTCATCAAGTATTCGTAGTGTCTAAATCAGAAAGGATCATAATGATTATATTACAATTCTGCCCTTTCATTTTTTTGATTGAGGCGAAATCTATATAACATATAATGAATCATTTTAAAGGGTACAATGCAGTGGCATTTGTGCAACCACCACCTCTTTCTATTTAAACCCTTTTTCATCATCCCTGCCTTTTATTTCTGTATTTCTTTTTTACTTTTTTGAAGCGGAGTCTCACTCTGTCGCCCAGGCTGGAGTGCAGTGGCACCATCTCGGCTCACTGCAACCTCTGCCTCCCAGGCTCAAGCAATTCTTCTGCCTCAGCCTCCCGAGTAGCTGAGATTACAGGTGCCCACCACCACGCCTGGCTAATTTTTGTATTTTTAGTAGAGACAAGCTTTCACCATGTTTGGCCAGGATAGTCTCGACCTCTTGACCTTGTGATCTGCCCGCCTTGGCCTCCCAAAATGCTGGGAATTACAAGCATAATCCACCGTGCCCGGCTCCTTTTTCTTTTTAAAATAGAGATGGTGTCTCCCTTTATTGCCCAAGCTGGATTTGAAACTTGGGCTCAAGTGATCCCCCAACCTCAGTCTCCTGAGTAGCTGGGATTATAGGCACTCACCACTGAGCCTGCCCTTTCATTTTTATTTTATTTTATTTATTATTTAGAAGCAGGGTCTTGCTCTGTCACCCAGGCTGGAGTGCAGTGGTGTGATCATGGTTCACTGTAGCTTCCACCTCCCAGGCTCTAGCAATCTTTCCACCTCAGCCTCACAAGTAGCTGAGACTACAGACGTGTGCCACTGTGCCTGGCTAATTTTTGTATTTTTTGCAGAGATGCAGTTTCACCTTGTTGCCCAGGCTGCTCTTGAACTCCTTGGCTCAAGTGATCCGTCTACCTTGGCCTCCCCCAGTGCTGGTATTACAGGCATGAGTCATTGTGCCTGGCCTTTAAAAAAATTTTTGACACAGAGTCTCACCCTGTCACCAGACAGGAGTGCAGTGGTGCAATCTCGGCTCACCGCAACCTCTGCCTCCCAGGGTGAAGAGACTCTCATGCCTCGGCCTCCTCAGTAGTTGGAATTACAGGTGCGTACCACCATGCCCTGCTATTTTTTCCTATTTTTAGTAGAGACAGGGTTTTACTATGTTGACTCCACTGGTCTCAAACTTCTG